CTAGGTTTCATACTTATCTGGAAATGTATGGATAGCTAGATATCCTCCTTCTATCCACACTACTATCCTGTAGTCCCTCCTAAGCATGTTTAGCCTTGTAGATTACAGGGGGTATGTGTGAGATTGTCAGGGTTCGCTGTGGCTGCCTTATTCCCCAAATTTTCCTATTATATTTCTTGCAAGACTACGGGTTTATTTCTTGTACCTGCCAGTATCATAGTCTCAAGGCAGCTGAGATGCTGGCCTTTCCTGGGGTATGCACACCATTCCAAATCAAATTAGCCTCCTCCAGGTGTGGAGCGGCTGGTTTTGGGGAATTTTTCTCCCCTTATAGAGCTACCAAGGTAATGGAAGCTGGAAGAGGAGGCTTTGCTCAAAATTACTTCAATTAGCTACTTTGTTATTACTGAATATGATTTTTTTCCTGACTTTTTGGCAGTGAATATCTTTATGAAGATTTCACTTCTTACCATGTATATTAGTTTTCTAGGCTTGCCATAACAAATTATCACAAGCTTCGTGGCTTAAAACAACAAAAATTGCTTCTCTGATAGTTTAGGAGGCCAGAAGTCTGAAATCAGAGCATCAGCAGGATTGGTTTCTTGTGGGGGTTTTGAGAGAGAATCTATTCCATGCCTCTTTCCTAGCTTCTGGTGGCTGCCAGCAATGCTTAGCCTAGCAGCATCTCTCCAGTCTTTGTCACATGGCATTCTTCTCTCCGTGTCTGTGTATCTGAACTTCCTTCTCCTTTCTCTTATAAAGACAGAAGTCATTGGATTTAGGACCCACTGTAATCTAGTATGACCTTATCATAACTAGTTACATTTCAAAGATCCTGTTTCCAAATGAGCTCACATTCTGAGATTCTGGTAGATATAAATTTGGGGGGACACTATTCAATCCAATATACCATTCATTATGAAGTAGCACCTGAAAATCTGTATGGTCTCTGGTGTTGATTAGGTTATCCTTTTGTGAAAATTAGTTTGAAAATGAACAGAACAGCAAGCTAACTTGACTTTTTTTTGTTTGGGTGGTTCTTTAAGTTAAAATAATTCACACCCACTTTTTTATTTTTTTTATTTTTATTTTTTCATACTACTAAGAAAAAGGCAGAGAGATCTGTGGACAGGAAAGTGTTGGCAGAGCCTTACCCTTCTCAATTCTGACTTGCATGTTTGCTTTTAATCTAGAGCCAAATAACTATCGGACCATGCATGGCCGGGCAGTAAATGGCAGCCAGTTGGGAAAGGATTACATCCAGCTGAAGAGCCTGTTGCAGCCCATCCGGATTTATTCCAGAGCCAGCTTATATGGCCCTAATATTGGGCGGCCGAGGAAGAATGTCATCGCCCTCCTAGATGGGTAGGTCAGATTGTTTAGCTTTTCTTATGACATTATTCATTTAATGAATTAATGTATTTGCATTTCTCCTGATTATTTATTTATTTATTTATTTTGGTCTTAAGAAAAAAAGGAGGGACTCTTTCCATAGTGGCTTCACCCACTCTAAGTCAGAGGTTCTCCATCTTTCTCATCATTCTAGGCCTTCCGTAGTCAACAGGGGAGCATGGGATGGGGAAGGTATATCACAATCTCTAGGATGGGTTGTAAAGGAAACATTGTTTGAAAAAACACAATTAATATGATGCATTTTATAGCATCATTTTATATTTTTTAAGACAAAAAAATTACTCTATACCAGGGTCCTCTTGTAGAAAGTGAAGCTTTACAAAATCTTGGCCAGCAAACTGGGTTAAAAAGTTGAAAAACACTACAAATACTGAGATATTAAAGCTCTTGGTAGGCCTATTAGCAGATATTCTTGAGAATTGCTACCACTTTTCTTATTTAGTTTTGACTAAATCTGACAATCTTTTTTTAAATCACCTAAGGCAGGGAAAGATACTGATCAGGATTTTCTTTTATGTGTCAGAAAAAAATAGAGATTTATCTCTGTTAATGTATATGTACTAAATATACAGTGAAATATAACTAGAAACACATAAACATCCCCAGCAACTTGAACTAACAATAACAAAAATGTCAGCACTCTAAATTACCAGCTCTGTATTCCTTTCTAATCCTCCTGGTTATACAGATATAATTTTACATAGTTGTGATCATTGTATATGCATCATTTTGAGTGCTGCATTTTTTATTCATTGCTTCACATGACCCTTTCCTTGTTTCTACATAGTTCTCATATTGTCATTCTTAATAGCAATAAAATATTCCATTGCATTAATGCACCTAAGTCTGCCTAAGCATTCCATCACTGTTGGGCATTGGACTGTTTCCAAATTTTGCTTGTAATATATAGCACAGCTATAAACATTTTTATACAAATCGGTTATTTATTTCTTTTGAATTACATCCTTGGGCTAAATTCCAAAAAGTAGGGTTTCTTGGTCAAAGTATGTGATAATTCTTATGGCTTTTATATTTGTTGCCAAGTTTTTTTCAGAACAATTTCATCAGGTTGCAGGACAGCAATGTATTAGTATATCTTTTTCTCCAATATCCTATAGCAATGAATGTTGTCAGTTTTATTATTTTACTCTATTTTAATTAATGCAGGATCATGTTGCATGGTTGTTTAAACTTGAATTCTGTTAATTATGAAAAGAACTCAGAATTTTCAAATCCTTATGTTGTCTTGTTTCCTCTTATCCCAAATTTGATTAGTAACCATTGTAGTAACCATTAGTAACTTAACGAAATTTGACAATAACCATTTTGTCTGAGACCCAGACATGGAAGCCGTTTTAGATCAGTTTTCTCCTTCGTTCACACATTCAATTAGTTATTAAGTACTGTAATTTTCTTAGTATCCTTCATATCCCATTTTCTTTTCATTTTTATTTTAAACCTTGTTGTTTTTAATCCTAAATGATTTATTGGTATCTAGCTAGCCTCAAACTCTAATAATTTTTCCATATAGATTCCTGAGTAGTTTTTGTTGTTGTTGTTGTTGTTGTTGCTTTTTAAACAGAGTCTCGCTCTGTCAGCCAGGCTGGAGTGGAGTGGCGTGATCTCAGCTCACTGCAACCTCCGTCTCCTGGGCTAAAGCAATTCTCTTGCCTCAGCCTCCCGAGTAGCTGGTATTACAAGCATGTGCCACCACGCCCAGATAATTTTTGTATTTTTAGTAGAGATAGGGTTTCACCATGTTGGTCAGGCTGGTGTTGAACTCCTGACCTCAGATAATCCACCCATCTCGGCCTCCCAAAGTGCTGGGATTACAGAGGTTTTTTTTTTTTTTTTTTTTTTTTTAATGTAACATCTGGTCAAGTCACTTTTGCTTGAAATCCAAACCCTTTCCGATGCACTCGTGGCCTTTAGTATCTGCGCCTGCCTAAATTTGCAGCTAATAAGCAGTGATGCCCCCTTGCCCTCTAATTACATCTAACTACATCAAAGTATAGAAAATTTTTAATGTAAATTCTGGAAGATGCCATACTCTTTTATACCTTTACATCTTTTTATTTTGTGTCATTTTGTTAAGAATACCAGCCTCTCCTCTTGTTTTTCTCCTTTCTCTAGATCTTCTCTGACATGTTCAGGCAGAATTTCTTAGGGCCTCCTCTGTCCTTGCATGGCACTGTATTTTTCTGCTATCGCACTTATCAAATTGATGATAACATTTGTTTATATATCTGCCAGCCATGATAAACCACAGAGTAGGATCAGGAACCCATTTGTTTTATTCATATCCTCAAAATATTCCTAGGTTCTGTATCCTCAGAACCTAGGAATATAGTAAGTGCCTTATAAATGCTTGTTGAATGGGTAGTATCTGTCTTATTCAACAACTGATTTTAAGGTCATCCAAAAAAAAAAAACAGTATGCATAATTGTAATTATGAAGCATTGAAAAGCATAATATAAATAATCATTTAAATGGATTATGTTGATTTTATAAATCATGATAACTTCGGTTTTTTGAAACTATACCAATGTCTTAAGTTTTTAAAAAATTTTATTGATACATACAAATCGTACATATTTGTTGTACATATTTATGACAATTTTTAAATTATTTCTTTATGTTGGGAACATTCCAAATCTCTTCTAGCTACTTGGAATATACAATAAGCTACTGTTAACTTTTGCCACACTACTGTGCTATTGAACACTAGAGCTTATTCCTTCTAACTGTGTTTTTGTACCCATTAACCAACCTCTCTTCATCCTCCCTCTCTCCTTCCCTTCCTGGCCTGTGGTTACCACCAATTCTCTACCTCCATGAGGTCCACTTTTTCATTTGCTCCTACATGTGTGTGAGAACATACAATACTTGTCTTTTTGTGCCTGGCTTATTTCACTTAATGTAATGTCTTCCAGTTCCATCCATGTTGCTGAAAATGACAGAATTTCACTCTTTTTATGGTTGAATAGTATTCCATGTGTATATATACTACATTTTCTTTATCCATTCATCCCTTGATGAATACAGGTTGATTCCATATCTTGATTATTGTGAATATTGCTGCAATAAACATTGAAGTGTGCATAATCTTTTTGATATACTGACTTCCTTTATTTTGGTTATATACCCATAGGTGGGATTGCTGGGTAAGCTTTTTTACTGAGGTAGTTGCAGAACTAAAAAGGACTGTCTTTCCAGTTAGGATATGAACTCTATGAAGACAGAGATAGAATCTTCATGTTCATATTTAATATCTTCAGGGATTAGCCTGTGGTCTGGAAAATGGGAATTACTTAACAAAATGCTTATTTTATTGTTTTCATTTCCTCATTTGGGAAATGGCTATTCTTAATCATCAGTTTTTATCTAAAGACATGAGAATTACTATTTAGAGTTATATCAGTTTCTGGTTTTTCTTTTGTAAACTTTTATGCATCATCTATGTAATGACAATTTTATCTTAATCTAGTGCTTTTTGTGTGTCCTAAAAGATGTTTTTATTGTTTTAGAAGTTTCTTTTCATTATCATTTTTCTTGTCTCATATTGTTCAACAAGCTCTACCTACAAAATAGAAATCCTACTCAAAAGGAGATTTATCTAAAAAAATTATATACCCAATAACAGAGAAAAACCTATACCTCTACCTTGACAAATCTACTTAGTCCCTAATTTTTAAAAGTGAATACAGGCAAATCTCATATTTATTGTGCTTCACATATATTGAATTTTTTATAAATTGAAGGTTCATGGTACCTCACTTCATGTCTCTGTGTCACATTTTGGTAATTCTTGGAACATTTCAAGCTTTTTCATTATTATTATATCTATTATGGTGATCTGTAATCAGTGATCTTTGATGCTGCTATTGTAATTATTTTGGGGCACCATGAACTATAAGATGGCAAAATTAATCAATAAATGTGTGTTCTGTCTGTTCCACCCACCAGCCATTCTCCCATCTCTCTCCCTGTTCTCAGGCTTTTCTATTCCCTGAGATGCAACAATATTAAAATTACACCAATAAATAACACTACGGTGGTCTCTGAGTGCTCAAGTGAAAGACTTGCATGTCTCTTACTTTAAGGCACAAGCTCAACATGATTAAGCTTAATGAGGAAGGCATGTTGAAAGCCATGATAGGCTGAATGCTAGGCTTCTTGTCCCAAACAGTTAGCCAACTTGTGAATGTAAAGGGAAAGTTGTTGAAGGAAATTAAAAGTGCTACTTTGGTGAACACAAGAATGATAAGAAAGTGAAACAGCCTTATTGCTGCTATGGAGAAGGTTGTAGCAATCTAGATAGAAGATCAAACCAGCCACATTTCCCTAAGTGAAAGCCTAATCCAGGACAAGACCCTAACTCTCTTCAGTTCTATAAAGGCTGAGAGAGGTGAGGAAGCTACAGAAGGAAAGTTGGAAGCTAGCAGAGGTTGGTTTAAGGAAATAAACTATCTCCATAACATGAAAAATGCAAGGGGAAGCAGCTCTCCAGAAGATACAACTAAGATAATTAATGAAAGTGACTACACTAAACAACAGATTTTCAGTATAGATGAGACATCCTTCTCTTGGAAATCTGAAACTCTGAAAATCTTAGGGTCCCTATGAATTAAGTTAAATCTACTCCACCTGTGCTCTATAAATGGAACAATACAACCTGGGTGACAGCATATCTGTTTATAGCATGGTTTACTAAATAGTTTACACCCACTACTGAGACCTACTGCTCAGGAAAAAAAAAAAAATTGCTTTCAAAATATTACTGCTCATTGCCAATATGCCTGCTCACCCAAGAGCTCTGATGGAAATGTACAGATAAATTAATTTTTTAAGCCTGCTAACTCACCCTCCATTCTGCAGCCTAGAAATCAAGAAGTACTGTTGACTTTCAAGTCTTATTATTTAAGAAATACATTATTTGAGAAGTACATTT